GTCAATCAAATGCTAATTGTTCATATATTAACGGAACAGTAGTAAGTTGGGTTGTGCATTGTATTTTTCATGTGGTCTAAGTGGTGGTCTTATTCCTTCAATTTTTAAGAAAAAAAAAAAACAATACAAAACGAAACAAAAAACAACTACTTTGTGGGACAGTTTTGGTACTGCGTTAAAGTAGTACCAAACTTTTCCAGCTCACATGAATAGCTAGCGCCTAAGTGTTAAAAAGTGGTGTTCATTGTAAACTCGAAGCATGGAATTAAGTTCCTCCTGTCCATAAGCAAGTTGTCCAGGGACCAAACCTCAGAAAACAGTGTTTTGAGGGTTTTTTTCTCGTGAAAATGGGAAAATTTTTACTTATGTTAAATAATATTATCTATGTTAACTGAGTAACGGGGAAAGCATTGCAGATTTTGAAAAATTGCAGATTTTAGAGGTTTATGACCCAGATAATCGTTTCCTTCACCAATCTTGAAAATTTAACAACATTCGGTTGAAACCCAATGGACATATCATGTTTGAAATGTTAGTGATCCGTGTATTTGGTCGTTTTGAGAATAAGGCTTTAAAGTTTTAATTCGGTCTCCGAGTAGCCCTGTGAATAGGTGGGGGGGGGGGGGGGCTAGAGGCAGGGGGAGGGGGTATATCGAAAGGTTTTACATAAATGTTCCACTGAATATCCACGAGTACGTGCGGATCATGTTAACCAAGTATAAGGGGCGTACAGGGAACAATGTTCAGCACCATGATACAAAACTGTGAAGCTTTCCTGTAAAGCATACTTAAAATGTACTGAATTGAAACTATTTTGTAAGTACTTTTACCCCGTAAACAACCGTTGCTTTAGGCGTTGCTATGTTAAATTATAGCTACCAGTGTACATATTTCTTAATTTAAAGGTAAATCAAGGAGTAATTAGAACAAGAACGTTTCAAAATACGTTTTGCAAAAGATGGGAGATGTTGAATCTTCATAATAAAGTGTATTATCGTTTGTCTCACGAAGAGAGCCTGTCGCGGAATTTAAATCCACGGAATTTAATGTCCAAGGAGTTTCGGAGTCTCTCCGCCGCTGCCTAGAACAACAAAGCATTCGCACCGTCTTCAAGTCCGACACGACACTTCGGTCACACTTAGTGCGACCAAAGGACACTACAAACGATAATACACTTTATTATTGCATCTACCACGATGAATAACAACAACCTTTTCCTCGACATTGAATCTTCATGTTTCGAAAAAAATGTTTTTTGGAGAAAAACTGTATCTGAAGGTATAAGAGCCTCCTTAAGCCAGTCATCACTATGTCATCGTCTGTGTAAGATAGTCCGTGACATTTTGGAAGCTTTTGGAGCAGTCTCAATGTGACCAAAATATCTCGAAATTTGCTCGAGTTCTATTAATCGATTTTCGTCATTACACGCTAGTCGTTTTAATGAAAACAACATGCTGCTTTTTACAATTTATGATTGGTTCCGTTGCATTGAATGTCACATTTCGAGTCAAAAATTGAGTTTAGCAGCAGAAAAATGGCGCAGCAATGTCAAAGATGACACAGATAAAGTAACCCAATTTAACTGCGTTCGAACGAAGGAGAACGCAAACCTAATTTTGTATTGATGTTCTGTGTACTGTGATTCTTGCGTAATACAGGGAAAGAAACTTAGCCGTCGCGAACATTTTTTAATGGGTTATGGCCTCGCTTTCATTATATCGGCGTCACTTTAACGCACGTGGAAACAAGATCGTTTATCGAGGCCCTTGAACTTTTACCAAAAATTCCCCTTTTCCCAATTAATGTGGCGTGCGATGTCAAGTGGACACGTTTCTGCGTTTGAAGTCGGGCGTTAGCAGCTCATTTAACAACCTTTTTATACTCATTGTAGATCAGTGACAACTATTACTAAACTCTCTATACATTTACGTTCAAATAATACAAACCTTCAATTTTCAATCAATCATTGATTCAATCAATCAATCAATCAACCAATTAATCAACAATCAACCAACACTTTATTTAAATGCGTTTCGCCTAAAAACTAAGTAAGCTCGATTAAAATACCAATGTGTATGCAAAAATAAATAAATAAATAAATAAATAAATAAATGAATGAATAAATGCAGTAGAAATCTGAATAAAATAACGTTAGGCCTGTAAATATAAAATCTACAGTTCTCAACAGTACTACCAGGAGCTCCTGGTACTACTAAAATTAGCAACATCGCTAGCCAGTTTAAAGCCGATTGTAGGTAGTCTATTCCAGAGCCATGCACAAATGTAGGTAAACGCGATCTTCATAAACTTTAAGTTAAATTTGGGTAAACATAAATTGACGCCAGTGCCTCTCAGATTATAGGGCGTTTCCCCGACACTGAAAAAGTCCCTAAGGCGGGATTGTAAAAAATTTTGTTTTTTCGGAATTTAAATCTTAAGGTATTGAAGTTCTATTTTGAGAATTTCTGTTACTGTAAGTTCAAAGCTCGTTTTCTCAAAACTAGTTATCTTTGCCTTTGGGAAAGCTATTTTGAGCAAGATTTGTCCAATTGTAGGCTCTCCCAGCCGCGGTCAGACCCTGATTGAAAAGTTTACATTCGCAAGGAGAAGCTTCTAGTGCTTCTTGTTGAACTGCTTCGAGTGAACAGAGAACATAGATGATTAAAATAGATAGATGAATGCATTTCGAATGAAAATTGGCTAGTACACCTGCGTAAGAGTTCGTTCCACGTGATCGACGATCATCAGCCTGTCAACACGTGCTACACTGGTTGAACGCTTCACTGATCACGTGTTTCTTCAAAACAAGGAGCGTGGCGTGACAGTCGTTAAGCCAAAACATGGCGGCCGAGCTCGAGAAGATGGAGCCTCCATTTTCCCTTCATTCTATGAACAGTACGGGTTCCTCTGACCCAGATATCGATTTGGTAGCTGACGAAGAAGATGAAGAACACGAGCATAAAGGAGTATTCGTTTTGAGGGAAAAGAGGGGCGTTATTTATCCGCTTGACTACAAATACAGAGTTGGTAAGTTTAGGTTAATTTAATAAGCGTAATATTGTACTCTTTGCATACGCATCACTAGAGATTTCTTTAGTCAGCCGAGGCGAAGGGTTTGAAGATTAAGATAAATGTAGCGGTGTAGTTAAAGTGAGAGGACAGTTTAATTGTCATGTTAATGCAAAAAACCCCAGAACCTTGAGTCCTTTTACCTGTGACAAAACTGAAACTGAACACCTCATCTGTTATCAAACAGTAAGTTGCTTTGGCGATTTAATGAGATCATATTTACTGTAAGTAATGTCGGCTGACACTAATCAACCAATATATCAACCAACACTCAGTCGATATGTCGGCCAAGTATTGGCCGACAGTTGCTCAAGTGTTGGTTGATTATGGCTTGAGTATGGGTTGAATATTGATCCAGTATTGGTCGAGTATTAGTTGATCTGTCAGCCATTACTTGACTGACACTTGACCGATACACATATCAGTCAACATATAGACGGAATGTAGACCAATACCCAATGGACACTCTGCTGATTAACTCAACAGACACTCGCGAGACTGTCGGCTGATATATCAATTATGTATCGCTGAGTGTTGACTCATACTTGGGCAATACTCGGGCGATAGTGTTGGTTGACAGTGGTGGCCGACACTATCAACAGTAAACATTATCCATTTAATATAGGCAAGGTTGTGCTCTAAGAAAATTTTCAGGGAGCCCTTCAGGCTCCCAACCATTCCATCCAGGGTGCCCAGCTCTCCAGGTTCTCCAGGTAGATTGCCCAAAAACAATTAATTTATCAATTGATTAATTAATTAATTAATTAAAACTTATAATTAAGTCTAGGTTTAATTAGTTAATAATTAATTGAACCATGAAATTAAATTATACAAGTAATTTCGAAGCTTTTTAGTTTTGTTGTATGGTGTGCACTGTCAGATTACTCTTGGAGGCTTTCTACCAACAAACAAGTTTGACTTCCTTATGTTATCACAAATGTTAACAGAGAGTTTTTCAAGAAGGCTGATCAAAAGCCACTTTTTAAAACTTTGTTGGGATGGTGACCACCAGAGGGAAAATAAGTGAATTTTAGTTGATTTGCATAGAAGTCGATTTTGAGGGGGAGCTCAAATGCAACAAGTAATCGCAACAGCATAGCATGCGATTCATTACCCACCAATGCCAATGATACAACATAATAATAATAAATAATAAATAAACATGTTTATGCAGGATGACCATTTCAGTTATAGAAACTGCTTTCAACCTGGGTCCTGCATTATAGAGCCAGGTGTCATTTCCTGTTGTCTTCACAGCTTGGTAGCTTTGCGGATGATGGAAGGTCTTCGGATATGCAAAACCCATGTGGACATTACTTTCCAAATGAATTCTTTTCTTTTCTTGTGTGTGTACTTTCTTTTGAGTGCAATCACAGATTCTTTCAATTCATCTCCAGGTTTACTTTTCTTTTGCTGGCAGTCCAGGATTTCATACAGTTTGCCAAGATCTTTATCCATCATCTCTAAATAATTTTCTTTCTCACATGTTGAGCGATCTGCGCGACTGTCGTTGTGCAGAGTCATGCGATATGGGTAAAAAGTGATAATACTGCCATAGCAGCATGTTTTCGTGTCATGAAACCCATTCATAGTTTCGCGCCAAAATGGCCAAAGTAAAAATTAATCCTCCCATTTAGAGAATTTACATAAAAATTTCCAAGGTTATCTAGTTTGATCAAGAAGTCAACTTAATGTATCTGAGTATTTGTGGAAAGTTAAACTTTTCAGAAGATATATGAAAGTTTTGATAGCT